GTTAGACTAGGGGGCTGATCGGGTTCGATCTCACACCGTAGTGTAAGGGCAACACTTCTCTCTAATATTGTAGTAGATAACCACTTGCAATGTTAGGTATTTATTTGAAATGTTTTAAAAAGTTTAGAACAATTTAAAATTATTCTTGTTAGGTAATTATTTGTACGCAACTAACACAAATTTGTAGACCGGGCTTAACCATGTTGTCTACAATAATGTATACTCTCTCATTTGAATAAAAAAATTGAATCTGATCTCCCCTTAGTATATAGCTTGTTTAGAACTGCTCTTAAAATAACTGAAATCACTTGTAGAAAAAATATTTTTGGGTTTCAAAAGCACTTAAAGTGCTTCCTGCATTCTTGCATGAAGCAATGAAGTGATTTTCTAGAATTCATTTGTCATTTTACTATGGATTGATTCCAAAAGCATTTTTATCAAAAACGTTGTTAACCATTTTAAACGCTTTTAACCATTTCAAATGAGTCCAATATCACCGGTTTTGAAAAACAAAAATAAAAATAAAAAATTAACACAAACCCCCCAAATATGATCTATTAAAGAAAGAAATCAACTATAGATTGCCGCATCATGTATTCTACAAAATATGTTCTAAAAATATGATAGCTTTAGCATTCTCTTTTGGTAAATAGATTATGAAACGAGTGTTGAAGTTTATTAAGTCAATGATCGATCAATCAATCATTAGAGTTTGGCCTAAGAATAATACAATTGAACAATAATTATTTAGGGAAATAAATTATGCTTGATTTATGTGATTAGCAATGAATGATCCCTTTCGTAATCAATACAGGAAATTAATCCCAAAATAAAATTAAAAAATCAATGTAGGAATCGAAGCCTCGAGGTAAGACAAGTATAATTATAATCATACTTGAGAGATATTGATATATAGTTGAGAGAGTGTTTTGGAGCAATATTGACATATATTATATAATATAATTGAGAGAATATAATAATAATTATACACTCATCATCAAGGACGGAGTTAGAAATTTTTTTTTATTGGGGGCGTCTTAAAACAACCAAGTAAAATAATGGGTTTTAGGTTATTGAAGACCAAATACAGTAAAAAATCTCTAAATTAGAAAGTTAAATTCTAACTTGTAATGCCACAAACAAATGAATGAAGTAAATTCATATAAAATACTTTGGAGTAAAAATTTTGTATTAAATTATGATACTTCATCAGTTGAATCCAATGTATTTATCAAAACCCCTAGTTCAATTGAGTTTGATTTAGGTTAGAAAACGTGGAATATTTGGAACCAAAATCAAAATTTTAATTGTTGTTTTAATTGTCATGACATTTTTGCTTTCCTCACCCAAAAATCTGAATGGGGGCGGATGCCCTCCCTGGGCCTTATGTAGCTCCGTCCATGCTCATCATCATCGAAAATATCCAAAATAGGAGAATAAGATATAAACTTGGTTTCCTTGATGAAGTTGCATGTTCATAGGCGAACCTCAAATAAAGAAATGAGCTGTACTACTAACATGAAATAATTCCGAAAAAATGCGAATATAAAATTAGCATGAGATAGTAAAATAAGAATGTTTACGTAATTTTTTTGGTGTGTTAAATATTCTATACTTGAATATGCATCATGGAGAAGAGATGACAAAATTAATAAACATATATAGCGTTGAAACGTCGGTTGCAGCCGGATTGAATAAAATCAAGCAGAGAAATAAGAATACTCTTAATTTTGAAAAGTCTTCTCTCCGATTGAATATTGATAATAATTCCCAACATCATCTTCATCTCTCTTGTGAGTCATGTTAGACTAGTTCCCATCACCAGAATATACATGTTCAGACGTTCTGGCTTGTGTCGGCATCTTTTGACTTGGCAACTAACAATAAAAAATTATATCAATTCCCCCAATTAGGTTTAACAAGTTCATTTTGAAATTATTTAATGGCTTTGATTGATTAATTTTGGGAAAGAATATTATCATTAATTTTTTTTGAAAACGGTGCAATATTCATTGATAAGGTAATAGACTACATCCACTCATTGAGGATATGATGCATACAATGAATCTCAATAAAAATCTGGCTAGAGATTTCAATCCAGTCAATAAAACAAAAGAGTATCCATCACCATAAAAGGAATTAATTATACATGACATGATATATTAATTCCCTAGAATTTGGAAGAGGAGAGGGCACACCATTCTTGCCGTGGCCTGCCGACTGGCCTCACTATCTGTCCGCTACGTGCAATAATTTAGTGGTTAAAATTAAAATTATATATACATATTCGATAACAATTAGAATTATATGTAAATTTGTTCCAAGGTTGAACATTTTAATCTTAGTTTACTATCCTAAAGTTTTGTGGTTTTTAACATTTGTTACATGAAGTTTTTTTTCATCCAAAAGTCATACCTCAAGTCTTAATTTTGGGACAGTTTTGTATATCTGTTAAGTTTTCTATTAGAACTTATGTTAACTGATGACGTGGTGCACACGTGGACAATAACTGAGTGTCACGTGCTAATAATAAATACAAAAAAATACAAACAAACAAAAAAACCCAACCCGTCTTCTACCTCCCCCAACCCCTTCCCTTCCTTCATCCTTTGCAACCCACACCCTCCCGCTCAGCATTGCTCAGCCTCACTTCCGACTCCTACTCATCTACGATGTAATCAAAGGAGCCGACAGAGTAGGAGTGCCGATTGGAGGAATTCGTCGTTGTCGTCTGGAACCCTACTCCTCCATCGACGACGACCTCTTCGATCGCCTCCCAGACTCCTTCCTCTTCCTTGTCTTCAACAAGATCGGCGACGTCAAGGCCCTCGCCCGTTGCTCCATCGTTCTCTATGGCAGTGAACGACTCCCGATGATGTGGCAGTCATTGGATCCCACTTGTTCGACGACGGGACCCACTCGAACCTCTCGTCGCCTCTGTCCACGAGGTTCTCGTATGTGCACATGAAGTGATCAAGTGGTGCTGCGCATGACGGCGCGCTCGAATCGTCGGCGATGAGGACAAGTCGATGGGAAAGGGTGTTCGGTAGGAAGAGAGAAATGGCTTCATTATGGTGCAGGAGTACGGAGACGGTGTGGGTGTTGATGTTGTTGAGGATAGCACCGGACATGGGCATGGCAAAGTGGAGCTCGTACATGACGAGGATGTTTGGGGAAAAGGTGTACATAGGAGAGAAAGGATGTTTGGGGGAGAGGGAGCCCATAAACGGGAATTTTTTTTTAATTTTTAAAAATATTTATGTGGGCCCATAAGACACGTAACGCTCAGTTATTGTTCACGTGGGCTCCACGTCATCAGTTAACAAAAGTTTTAACGGAAAATTTAACATATGTATGAAACTGTCACAAAATTAAGACTTGAGGTATAATTCTGGGATGAAAAAAACTTCATGTACCAAATGTTGAAAACCACGAAACTTCATGGTAGTAAACTAAGATTAACGCTTAAATTATTATATATATGTAGAGTGGTCTGCATGGATTATGTGTATATATATATATATATGGGCTAACCCTAGTTAGTACTTACCTTACCCGGTGGACTAGAACAAGCTAGCTAGGGAGGTCATCCCTTAATTTTCATTTTGTATATGAAAAAATATTATTGTATTCCTTTATATATATATATATATATATATATATATATATATATATATTGTAGAGCTTTAGAGGTTTTAATTAAAAATTAAGTAAATATTAACAGAAGGATAATAAGGCTCAAAGGGGAAGAAACAATTAGCCAGGCAGGCAGGTAATACAGGTTGACATCTTGTACTGGTAAAAAAAATCAGGGGTATAAGATTCGAGGTGGAGTTTGCCAAATTATATCCATCCGACTGCAAAACATATCATATATTTGTTTATAAAAAACAAAAATTATCATATAACATTATTTTCAACAAACGATATTATCTACATTAAAGGAGGTGAGAGAAGTGCGTTAAGTCTCACAATAGGCTAGCAATAATATAGTCTAAATTCGTTTTGGCAAGAATCGAACTTAAGACCTCTCGTTTACAAGTGAAGAAGAATATCACTAAACCGTAGTACTAAATGACACATCATATAACATTATTAAAAAAATGTTTGATAACCATTTAGTTCGTTTTTTTATTTTAATGCTCATTTTTTGTATTAATGATAGAGAGTCTATGAGATAGATAAAAAAGAATTGATGAATGATGATGAAAGAGACGTAGAAAAAATTTATAACAAAAAGCACACAAAATTAAATCAGACAAATTAAAAATAAAAAACTATTTAAGTTGCTATCACTTTGAATATTTTGTTTTCATTTACTCTGTTTATCATCACCATTTTTCATTAATTCATTTCCTCATACACTCATCATACATCTCAAGCATAAACAGTAAAACCAAATTGGCTTTTTAGTTAAAATGGTCAATGAGATTGACATAACTTGTCACTTTGGTTGTTGAGATTTGAAATTGATAGAAGAAATCCCTAAGTTTGTCATCGTTTTGATCATTCCGTGAAAAATCTATGTTAAATAAATACTAAAATGATAAAAATACCCTCAATTTAAAAAACAATGGGACAAAATAATTTGACAATTGAGGGTATTTTTTTCTTCTTATTTAAGGGGAATTTTTTAACGGAATAACCAAAATGATTGATGGTTGACAAATTCAGAAACCAGTTTTATCGATTTTAAATCACATGAACCAAAATGAAGAGTTAGACTAATCTCAATGATCATTTTGACTAAAAAGCCAACCAAACCTTGAAAACAAATTGCCACCACCAAAATGGGACTTTCGTAATGCCTATTTTTTTTTAACAAACGATATTATCTATATTAAAAGTGAAGTAATGGACTACTTCAACTTCAAACCTTCAACTTGAAATGTAAAAAAATAATAATAATAATAGAGTTCCTATATACACCCGAAAGTCCAATGCCGCCATTGTCTACCAACCTTGGACTTGGACTCTATAATACATTACACACTATTGTGTGTAATGACTAGTCCAGTTAGCTTTCGAGCTTTTCGCAGCTAAATACAATACTTTATATACATATACAGCTAAGGGACTAAGTCTAACGCAGTTTGCCATATGTATTACAACCCAATTACCCAAGAGAAGAAAATCTGGATTTATCAGTTGAAAAAGCATCAAGAATGAGAAACTCTGTGATTCTTGATATTACTGGGAAGAGGATTACTGCACGGACGATACTGGTGTTTATGGCGGCAGCAGCTGTCGCCGGTTGCTTTATTGTCTACAATTTTGTGTATCCTTCTGGATTTCGTTATGATGGCTTGGCATCACCCCTCCCCTCCTGCAGAACCACAACCCCTCCACTTCAGCAGGCGAATACCACAACTCCTCCGCTTCAGCAGGCGAATACCACAACCCCTTCGCTTCAGCAGGCGAATACCACAACTCCTCCGCTTCAGCAGGCAAATACCACAACCCCTTCGCTTCAGCAGGTGAATACCACAACCCCTTCGCTTCAGCAGGCCAGTACAGTACGTAGTCCTCTTAATTCATTTCTTATCTCTCCCTAATTAATCCTGTTTACTTTCTACTCCGCAAATCAGTATATTTATGGGTTCTTTAGAGATATGCTATTGCAATTTTTATTTCCTAGACAAAACTTATCTATATTTAAACATTCAATTAAACCCCAAAATTCAAATCCATTGATATGTAGACAAAGAAATAACATATACTATTTACAACCTATGCCCCAATACACCCTAATTATGTCAATGCAATTTACTAATACCAACAGTAATGATGAAATCCTAACAATAATGATGAAATGTTAAATTTGGTCTAGTTTTTTTTTTTTTTTTTTTTTGCAAGCATCTAAAAGTTCAACTTGTAGGTGCATTATACTTGATTTATATGTGCTTTAGTCAATAATTGCTCAAAATTTCAATTTTTATAAGCTACAATTGAAACAATATACATACATATTCTCTTTTTCATTAAATATATAAATATATTTCCTTATAAAAAATATAAATATATTTCAGGTCAGTACGTAAATATTTGTAAAAATAATTTACATATATTTTTTTCATTTAACCAAATGAGATATGACATCCTTTATCTTAGCAAATGACATCTTTATCTTCAAGTATGTACTTTAATTTCATAAAATAATTTACCTGTACCTACATGTGAAATATTGGTAATTAAACTGAACCGAATGACATCTTTTATGTTGTAGTAAATTATTTTGCACATATTATTACATGCTTTAGGCACATTTTATTGTTATTATATATATGTGGTATGTAAAATAATTTACCTATATTTATATATAAAATATAGGTAAATTTATTTTGAGAAGATAACATTCTTATATTTTATTGGCAGCTAAGAGGCACATTTTGTTTTTATATAATGCTCACATATTTTGAAAAGGGAAAAGTTAAACGAAAAAATTTCTAATTTTATGCAAATTTGAAAGGCAACTAAGCATTTTTTAGGCATTTTATATTAGCACCCCACATTAAAATTTAATATTAAATGATTTATTTACCCTACTATGTAATGACAATTTTGACCTTATTAGGTTAAACAAATATTCTAAATACACCCCAAATCACTTTTAACGTATTATTTATTTTCTTCAACTATCAAAATCCCTTTGACCCTCCATTGTTGAACAAAACCCTAACCAATGAAACTACAAACATGTTGATTGAGAAAAATTATTTTTGACGAATGAAACACGAAATCGATGTTTTGGAAGCTTCACATAAGGTAAGACTTCATATTTTTTTATTGTTTTAGTGATTTTGACGACATTGATAATTATTTAATCTTGCTTTTGCTACGTTATTCAAGCTTCTATATTCTTATTCATCTTTTAGGGATCATAGGGATTACATGAAGAATTAAACACCTAAAATTACCACCAAATATTAAAAACATGCAACATGAGTTTTAATGGTGGAATTGAAAACAACCCACATATGCTTTAAATCCCAGGCAATATCTTTTGTCAAAATTCAAGTCGGTATCTTTTGTCCAAATTAAAAGCTTTATAAGATTTGAGAAATGTGGGGTGTATAGAAAATATGGGGTGCATGTAGAAAATGTAAGGTGTATATTGAGAATGTGAGGTGTGAGGGTATTATGGGGAAGTATGTGGGGTGTGTTAAGAGAATTTTTCATTGAAAAAAGTAAATGTGGAGTGTATTAAGTATGTGTGGTTTATTCAACAATTTGTGGGGTATTAATATAATAAGCTTTTTTTTTTTAACCAACGTTATTATTTACATTAAAGTGGGAGGATGTGGGTTTAACTTCATAATGATCTAGCAATAATGTGGTTCAAATTTACCTTTGGCGAGAATTAAACTTAAGGCCTCTCACTTACAAGTGAAGAGGAATGTTACTAGACCGTAGTACTAAGTGACAAAATAACTAAGAACTTAAAAAAGGATAAAAATGAAGCGAATTCAAACCCTAATATCATATCATTGTGTTATTAATATGCATTGAAACCATGACATTAAATTTTGTTTTTAATCCGACATAAGTTATTAGGGGTATTTTAGGTATTCAAAAATACAAAATTATGTGAAGTCAAATTTAATTAAGAAAATTGTTGAGTTGGAGTCTAATCATTGGGTTTTCGTTAAGAAAATATAATACGGTGAATTTTAGTTAAAAAGAAATATAATTTCTATGAATAAAGTCATATTTTCATTAATTAGTTATGTTAGCATGTAAGTATGATACTAGCATTTCCTTATACACTTTATGTGTAAGAACACATTTTTTTAGAAAATGAGAAGGAGAGAGGGAGAGAGAGGGAGAGAACGTGGGGGGAATGAGAGGTTTTTGTTTTTGGTTTTTTTTTATTTTTTTATTTTTTAAATATTAGAGGTATTTTAACATCACCTGTAGGTGAGACTTTAATAAAAAACAATAAAATTTAGACCTATGAAATTACATTATTGCCCATCTTTTTTTTATGATAGAAGACTAAGTTGTCTTTTCATCATTTTTTGGTTGACAAAGAGAGTTTCATTAATTAATAGTGATAACATTATCGGTGCATACAGGGCAACCAACAAGAGGATATGGATCCATTGGATAAAGTTCTGAAAAATGCATGCATGAAGAACAAAACGGTTATAATAACTACGTTAAATGATGCATGGGCAGAGCCCAATTCAATATTTGATCTCTTTCTTGAGAGCTTTAACATCGGAAGCAACACGAAATGGCTGCTCAAGCATTTGCTAGTCATCTGCGTGGACCAAAAAGCATATGCTCGTTGCTTAGCATCACACCCTCATTGTTACTTACTTTACACTCAAGGCACCAACTTTACCGGCGAGGTATTTTATCTGACTCCCAATTACCTACGGATGATGTGGAGAAGAACCCAGATTTTGTCTTCCATTCTCGACAAAGGCTACAACTTTATCTTTACGGTATTTTTCTTAGTCCTTCATTTCTTCCAATTTTTGCTTTCTTTTCCATGAATGAACTATTTAGTGAAATTAATGGTCAGGATACCGATATAATGTGGCTTCGAGATCCATTTCCACAATTCTATCCGGATGCAGATTTTCAAATTGCAACTGATCAATTCCTAGCTGATTCTTATAGTTTTGACAATCCTCCCAACTGTGGATTTGTCAATGTAAAATCCAATGATCGAACTATTGGGTTTTACAAATTTTGGTACCTCTCCAAATACACATATCCAGATACGAATGAACAAGAAGTGCTTAATAGGATTAAATTTGATCCCTTCATTGCCAAGATTGGATTGAAAGTGAGATTCTTGGATACAAAATACTTTGGTGGCTTCTGTGAGCCAAGTAAGGATTTTAACCAAGTTTGCACAATGCATGCCAATTGTTGTGTTGGTCTTGAAAACAAAGTGAACGATCTCAAAGCTTTGCTTCAAGTTTGGAAAAATTACATGTCATCACCTCGTAACGCCACAGGCACATCACAAGCTTTATGGACCGTCCCACAAAAATGCAGGTAATTTTAGCCATCGCTTATGAATCTTCTTCCGTTAAGCCCATTTCTTATGCCAATAGTTTTTATTCAGATGTGCTATCCACACTCTTTTTACTTCTCACACATCTTTGTTAATTTTTGTCATTTGATATTATTTAATTTAGTCGATCTGATGACTGCAAATTAAGAGGAGTTTGTGAAGTAAAAAAGTGTGTGTGGATAGCACACCCCTTTATACATACCTTTTGCAACCAAATAAAAAAGGTTGTTGCGTTGATGATCAAATATTTTTGAAACTTAATTTTGACTTGAGAACCATCCCATGCATGCATGAATCTGACGTCTATAGTCCTACTTCATCACGTATGTTGTCACTTCAGGTAGAAGAAAAGGTGGGTTAAATTCAACGATGGAAATTGCTCCCTGCGGATCAAATATATGTCATCTTGCTCATGATTATTATTACAGAACTTATTTTGCAGCAGTTTTTCTTTTTGCAATGTTTATGTGAAGTGAATTAGTGAAAAGAATATACCCTCCATTTATGAATTGTGACAATTTCAAATGTACAAACCAGAAGAGATAGATAAATGCCTACATGTACGTACAAATTCAATTTTATTTACTCACTTATATTGTCTGCTATCATGTGCATAAGCGTAGTTGAGGTACTGACTTTAGAACATTTTTTTTTCCTCACACTTTACTAAGAGCAATGTTTAAACAAGATGTTTCAGTTCCACGTTTCCGCTACGTTTGCAGCTGCTTGTTGTTTCCTATAGCAGAAGAGTTAGGCCGATGTATATTCTGGAGACTTATGGCTGCAAGCTAACATGATCATAGACACCAAACTTGCCTTTCTCCTTTGTTAGAAAAGAATAGGGAAATTTGTCTAAATTCGTCATGAACTGCAACCATCCAACAGGAAGACAAGCATGATGCCCACCAGATGCTCTGGTTTAGTTTAGATAAATGATGAACTGCACCGAGGACTTACGAGTCTGATCAAGCCATCAACTGGCTCTGTGGAATCGAATCTTGATACGTGTGCCACTTCTTGTACCTCTGGAACCTTGGAAGAACAGGTCTAGGTCGAGGAGCAGTCGTGCAGTTGGAACAGCAACGTCCTCTTAAATACTTCACACGGTTCAAACAGCATCTGAAATAGAAATCCTTACGTAATGCAGATGGTATAATGACACTTAAGCAGTGACGCTTCAACTTGGAGGAGGGAGGGGTGGATGGAGAGAGAATAGCTAACAAAAGGAACTTACAGATACAGCAGATTGCACTCGAGATTTGCACTGTTTCTATGCCTTAACTCACAGACTTGTGAACCACACGTATAGCACCTAGCGAATGTATTATTCTCTGGATCTTCATGTGTGCTTGCTTTAGTCATGGCTTCATGCTTGTAGGCAGGCGGTGGGAGAGAGAGACGAGAGTCAAATACGAACAAATTCCCAATCCACTGGACAGGACCTTCATTCTCCAGATAATGATAAACACCTTCCTTTATGTGTATAAATGTTGAAAGCCCTTTTGTCTGGCATATGAAATTAAATTACAACTAAATGTCCAAAATAAGAAAAGCGAGAGAAGAAGATAAAGAATTGATTCCAACATCACAACCACGACCCGTTCCATCACAAATTTTCCCATTAATCATGCAGTACAATCATCAATATACATTGCAAAGGCTGGCGGTTACCTTAGGATTGTGGAATATACATTGCAACGGATATCTCCAGTGCAATACATCAATACATCTGTTTTTTCTTTATCAACATTTTCTAATGGATCTGCAGAAATGACCTGAATAAGTACTAACAGAGATAGAAAGTAGTATGTTCACATTCGTCACCAGAAAATGAAGTTTCTACTACCTTCAGAACATATTAATGCCTAAATTTTCGTATATAAAACAGTAGAGTGCGACCTTCACTATATAATACCACAAAAGTGTTGCTTGACTACAAACTATGGAACCTCCCAACTGCTGACGTCCCTGATCTTAAATCTCCATACCAAGGCATAAACCTTCACATCAGAACTTCATTTCAAACCATTACACATCAATATAATTATGTCTGTGGGACTTCTGCACAGTTTTTTTGTTTTGCCGAAACAACACTACTTCAACCATCACACTCTGGCTACAAACAGAATGTCTCCAGATGTAACATATCATTGAACTAAAAGTCACGTACCTCTGGTTGCGAAAACCCAACGAAGTGCTCCTAAAGCAGTCCATATCAGGTCGCCGAGCCCCTTCAAAATGACCAATATCCCATTCATAACCTGATTACAAGCAGTGACAAAATCTTTAAACTTCTGTGGCTGAAATTATGAACACAATTATTATATGGCTGACGTAGAAGCTACACAAATAACAAGAATTGCATGCGCAATTATACATTAGAAACATGACCAAGGCAACATGTCAAACAACACAAGAAGAAACGACAGTGTTAAACAAATCTAGCTATCAAGGACTGTTCAAATGTACAGTTATGAACAAGTCTTTATTGAACACTCAAAATTGTTCCAACAACAATACGCACAGTTGAAGGGAATTGCCGGATTAACGATAAGAGGAAAATCATTTAAAATTAAAAGGCTAGGAAGTAACATACCATTTCTCACCTCCAATAAAATCTGGTTTCTTTTAAGATTGTCATTTGACACATCAATAGTTGTATTCACTGCTTCCAATCTCTTTCTTCATTCAGATGGAGATAGATTTGTTGCTCGCATTGAAGGGTCCAGCAAAGGAAGATGTGAAATACCTCCTTCTAACTGGAAGCGGGGGAGATATATGTTATGACATCAGCGACAAGATGTAGAAGAAAAAGAAGTTCTGTTGGGGCTTGCCTGAACCAGTGAGGGCTTATACCGCAATGGCCATTTGTTGCTGCAGAAACCTGCACTAGGATGCCGGAAAATCTCTCGTTTCCTCTTAACCATTCAAAATATGCAACAAGTGCATCTCTCGACAGCCCACTATACTGCACACATGCACAACACAGGATATTAAACACACTTCTTATTTGTTTGTCTTGCTGTAATATGTATGGTTCATGAATTCAGTTCACTTGTACATACAATCCGGCTGTGGAACGAACGTCCTCCGCAGAGAATTTCTGCTCATAAACATTAGTACATTACAAATACAAAGCAATATGCTAAGATAGATTATAGCATTGTATAAGCATTTCATTCATTCATTCCACTGATTTCATAAGCAAACATTACAAAAAGAAAGCAATAAATACCTGTGCATTATCCCTTGTTCATTCAGATATATCCGCCCACGTATGTTGAGACCCTCTACGAAAGAGGGATGCTTGGCCGCCACCGCCACCGCCTCTGCGTCTTTGATCATTACGAAATGGTAGAAATTCACCACCACCCATTCGTTATCCTCTCCCCTGCTTTCGTAGCTGCACTTGCATTGCAAGCCAACGCCCGCACGACGTCCGCCTTTCCGTTTGCTTCTTTCTGGTAACCAAAGGCATTGTCTTTGCCTCTGCTGGTTATGCTCGTTGTGATTTGAGAAAGAAAGGCAAGCTGTTTGGGCGGCGGAGGAGCAGACTGGGAATTCAAATGAACCTTTCCTTCTTCTGCCCACCAAAGCAATTTGAGTAATTGTGGAGCTCGACGCACCGGATATTACCGCCGGCGCCGGAAAACACCCTCTCATATTTTCTGTCTCTCCGTATCTGTTCAGTCTGTGAGCAGTGAGTGAGTACTGTGGGACTGTTGATGAACGGAGAGTGACAGTGTATTCCATTTGATACGGCGTCGTATTACAGTTGCTTTTATCCAGCCCAAAGACTATAGGCCCAATTCAGACGAGTCAAAGCCCAATACCAACGGCGTCGTATGGGCTTAAAATGACCCAAGAAAAAGAAAATACAAAAAATACGATTTAACTTTACTCCGGCAGGTGAAGGGACTCAATCTCAAAATTAGGTCGATAGATTTCGTTATCTGAAATTTGTTCTTGTTGGGGCGCAAAATAAAAAAACCCTAACCGTAGTGGTGTTGCAATCCGATTATCCGATTTGGAAAATCAGAGGATGGGGGCGAGTCGGAAGCTCCAGGGCGAGATCGACCGCGTTCTCAAGAAGGTCCAAGAAGGCGTCGACGTCTTCGATAGCATTTGGAACAAGGTTTGTAGCTTCTTCTACCTTCCTCCGCTTGCTTACAAAAACGCAAATTCCAACTGATAAAACTACTGATGCTTGTTTGTGTGCAATGCGATTAGGTTTACGATACGGACAATGCGAACCAGAAAGAGAAGTTTGAGGCCGACCTCAAGAAGGAGATTAAGAAGCTTCAGAGGTACAGGGACCAGATCAAGACTTGGATTCAATCCAGTGAAATCAAGGATAAAAAGGTTTTATCTTTTTATTTTCGATATGCAATTTTGAATTTTTCTACCTTCGTTTGTACTCGTTGATTTTGGACGTGACAATTGATTCATGTTTTGATACACGTTGACGTAGGTCAGTGCCTCTTATGAGCAGGCTCTGGTGGATGCTCGCAAACTCATTGAGCGCGAAATGGAAAGGTTCAAGATATGTGAAAAGGAGACAAAAACAAAAGCATTTTCTAAAGAAGGATTGGGCCAACAACCTAAAACCGTAACTACTTATCCTATATGTTTCTTTTCATTCGCCCCTAGTTTTTAATCAGTTCATGATTTTTGTTCTTTGGTAATACCGTTGTGGCAATGCTCATGATAATGTGAAACAAATTGCCAACTGTGTAATTCCTTTTTATGATAGGATCCGAGGGAGAAGGCCAAATCAGAGACAAGGGATTGGATAAACAACGTGGTATGTGAAACAAAAGCTTTTTCTTGAAGTCTGTTGTTACCTACTTCTGCTGCCTTAAAAAGCCTGTGACTGTATAAAACAGTGTGGTTTAGGATGTCTGCTGCGTTTGTAGTTTAAATTATGTCAATATTTCATTTTATTGCATGATCCATGTTTAATTGATGTATAAGTTTTGGCTTGTGTGTGTGCTCGTGTCTGCTATATATTTAATTATATGTACAATGGTAATGGATGGTTGTTAAAGGGGAACTGGAGTTCTTTAATTGATTGATGGTTGCCATTGGAGCTGTGGTGCACTGATTGTCTTTATTGAAGTTTTATACGTTTGTTGTTCCTTTTTTTTTTTCCAGTTATGCTTTAGATCGCATTTGTTTCTTATGTCGTTATAACTTGACAATAATGGTTTTAAACATCACATTTGATGTGATCGGTTTTACAAGTTATGTATTGGAAATTATCCATTATCACTCAGTGAGTATTTTTGGTGTTTCATTGTGTTGAGAAGGTTGGGGAGTTGGAGTCTCAGATTGACAGCTTTGAAGCTGAGATTGAAGGGCTATCTTTTAAGAAAGGGAAGGGCAGACCACCCAGACTGGTAGGAGAAAGAAACCTGCATTCTTAGGAAACATGTGGTTTTTCTGCATCCTTTGACAAATATTTTTTTATTTGTCTTGCAGACCCATCTAGAGACATCAATTACTCGGCATAAGGCTCATATAATGAAGTTAGAACTGATCTTGAGGCTATTGGATAATGATGAGCTGAGTCCTGAGCAGGTCAATGATGTTAAAGACTTTTTGG